ACTGTTGATATCTGCAGTATAATGTCACTTCAACTATACCAAGGCGATTTAATTCAGTCACTCTAATTTCTCATTCAGAGAGAGAATGCAAATGGGTATTGAATGACTCTCACCCTAAGGAATAAAGGATTGTGCAGAATTATGCTGCAGCAGAATAGACTTCTGTTGCACAACTCGCATATTCTGCAAGCCAAAAAATGCTTCCCAAAGTGAGTTGCTGTGACTTCAGAAGTTCAAGATAGTAGTGGTACGGTTTCCAGATCTGTGCGTTTTTGTCTGTTGGGATCAGGCATACATAGGAACCTTTCTCATAATCAAGATCTCACTGTAATTCAAATCAGATAAAGTGGCAAGCAGCTTTGATGGTTAAACTCAAGTATCATTTCTGTTTGAGACACAGAATAGCAACAGTCATTCGGAGCAAGATGTAGACTGGGAGGGAAGGTGATTGTCAGGTGTATGCGAGAATGCATTTTGGCAGTTACTCTTTTTAACTTTGTGATGACAAAAGCCTCCCTGTATTTCAAAGTCTTAGATGTTTGTATTGAGTAAAGCAGAGTAACCTGGGGAGGCAGTTCAAATTAATTAGACATGTTAGAATTGTTTTCTCAAGGCTTAAAGTTGTTGCTCGAGAGATATTTATGTTAGAAATTCCTTCCCTGACAGATACAAATAAACGTTTATTGTATGTGATGGTAAAGAGAGATGCCCCTGCAAGCTCTGGCATTTCATCTTGTACATGGAGCAAAGGCGTGGGAGCTCAGTGTGCTGGTTGTAATTCCTAGGTCTGAAAAATGTTAATTTGTTAATACCCTGCAGTTACTGTCTTCTGGACACAGGCTGTAGAGAATCTCTACAGTGATGTAGGTATGTCTGTTGTTTTGCAGATGCAGAAACTGGGATATGTTCAAGTGACAGTAGCTGGTGGAAAGTGGAGTGAAATGCTGTCTTTAATCTGATTTCAAGACATACCTTTTAATGCTGTTGCTTACCAATAAGCATTAGGGGACTTTGGTCTGCTTATACGTAAGGTTCTGAAAAGTTCTGGCAAACTTTTCTGCTCTGGATTTAAGATGTTGCTGTGCCAGTAAAGCAATGGATGAAAATGACAACATCCTGTGACTTGGGCTGAACTTGATTCCCTTAAGCTTTCAAAAGAAGCAGGCTTTGAACTAAGGCACTATGTGCAGTTACAGCTATCATCCTGCTGCTTCTGACAACTTCAGAAGGGGTAGAGAGGATCAGTCTCCCACCTGAGTGGCAGTGCAGCCTGCCACAACTCCATTGTTGAGTTTGGCAGGTCTCAGTTGAAATTACTTACTGTAATGTCATTTACCAAAAGTGAAATATGTAGCTCCAGAGTTTTGCATTGGTGAAGAAATGAACCAAAACAGGGAGGTTTCTGACTTGACCTTGATCATATAGTTGCTGTTGATGCCATGGGGCTTTCTTAGACTGGTTCCTCCAGAAGCATCCAGGAGGCAATTCCTGCCAGGATCCTGCATAAGATGGCTGTTTGTTATAGGTGACAGATCTAAGCTTTGTTGGTGGGTGATTTTATTAGGACTTAGCTAAGAATTTCAGTTCATCTTGTCCTGGTGCAGATTTTAGAAGGTATATCTTCAAACCAGAACTAGTTTGGAAAGTATGTGCCCGCTACAGAGCCCTACTTGTGGTCAGACTTGAGCTAAGGCCGTGATAGCTTAGGTGGCACACCAAGCAGGCAAGATGGTGTGTGATTTATTTTCATGATCTCTTTTCAGCTATGTTGTTGCTCTGTCCCAGCAAATAAGTATCTGGTAGTGTAGCTACACCACAGTGTGTTTTTTGACCTGTCTTATTTCAGCTCATGACAAGAAGTGCATCACAATGTATCAGTGACTCCTGAGATACTTTACTAACAGATGCCTCTCAGACCTTCTGAAATAGGTTGCCACACCTCCAGTCAAAGAACAAACCCATTCAAATGTATGTATGTGTGAAAAAAGAGGGGAAAAAAGCCACACCAGAACACTTCTTGCCTTACCAGAGGATCCACTTTATGTAGCATTCCACCCTAATGTTTATATAGCCTGTTTTGTTTTTGGTTTGGGGATGTTCAAAGGGGACTTCAGTGTTTTAGTGAAATGTGGGAGATGTGGATGAACAGCTGACTGGAAGTTCAAAAGCAGTTGTATAGAATGAAAGCTGGTTTATTTTCCATGTGCCAAGAATCAGTTTTGTTTTATTTAGATGAAACCAGATTATGGCATTGCAAATTCAAGTGTATTAACATTCTTACATAAAGCAAGTTGGGAAGCAATGTTACAGTTGAACTAATTGTTAATTATACAAATAGTCTTGCTGCATATTTTCTTAAGGCTCTGGGAATGTTTTGAAATGCAGTAGATTTCGGGAGTTTTTATTCTGAGGGGAAAATAGAATAGTAAATGATTCAAGAATGAAGATATTAAACATGGAGTTTTCGTCACTTGGGAGCATGCTTAAAATTGATGAAATATTTGCTTTCAAGCATGTAATCTTTATCTTTGAGGCATGGACATGCTACCTCTGTTTTTCTCCTTAGGGCTTGTCGTAAAACTATTCAAACCTTTGTGGTGCCTTACATAGTGGGTAATGCTATGGAGGATCAGCATCCCTCTTTTGTTGAGGTCCTGCTTTTGTCCTGTTGTTCATTTGACATAGTCAGAAAGAAGGGCTAATGGTTGCTGAATAGTAGCTTGTGATGAATTTGAGCTTTTCATACCCTTTCACTGTCACTCCTGACAATAATCTACTGTTTCTTTAAAAATAAGCTGTTTAAAAAAAAACCCACACCACCCACAACAACAAAAAAACCCACAACAAAAACAAAATCCCTTTTCTATGCATCTGGGAAAAAAAGGAATCTGTTGGTTTTATTATTGAAAATTAGAAAATTGGATTGTTTTGTAAGGAAGATGAGATTTTTCCATTTAGGTATTTCAAATTCAACCCTGTGGCACGTTCAAACAGTGATTTATAAAAGGTCTGGGATTAAAAAAGAAAAAGCTTGGTGACTTGCAGTCTTTTTGACCTTTATTTAAAAAAAAAAAAAAAAAAAAAAGCGCTACCCTCTCCTTGCATCCCAGAACAGAGTACCTGTATTTGTACTAATACAGATTATTACCATGTGAATATCCTAAACTCTGTTTAGGGACCTATCTTATCTGTAACTCTTTAATTCCAGGTAATTTATTTCCCTGTCTGATTGATTTCAGGCTTTACTGGGTATGGCATTTGAAGTGATTTGCTGCAAGAGTGGAAAGCAGTTAGGAGGCATACCCTGTGGAAAATGGGGATTCTTGGAATGGGAGTTACTCTTAGGAGCAGGCATTAATGAGAGCAGCTGTGAAGACAAAAAACCCCACAAAAACACACCACCAAAAAGCTCCAAAACAAAACATGGTCCAAACATCTTGAGGAACAGCTGCACAGTTTTCTCTTTTTTTTTGAACTGGGCCCTGAAATTCTTTTCAGGAAGGGAAGTGTTAAGACTTGTTACCCTATTTGTGTGAGAGTAGTCTTTCAAAAAGAACTGCACGTGAAGTCACATTTAGCATTTCTGCTTTGATTGCCAGTTAAAAATACATATAATGTTTGACAGGTTTTTTGCACTCAAATAGCTTCTCTTGGTGTTATATGATGCATTAGATTTACAGTGATGAATCTGCATTCTCTAGTCTTCATTTCTCCTGCTAATAAATTCTGTATGCTGCTCTCTCCCAAAGATTGCACAGACATCAGTTTAAATATGCCATGGTTCTCTGTCTCGCCTACGCTTAGATGCATAACAAAGAAGAGTCAGGAACAAATGTCTACAGTGATCATACTTTTACTATGGATTTTGCATCTAGTAGGCAAACCTGCATTGGTAGAGGATGCTGTAACTGAAGACCCCCACCCACTGTACAGTATTGGGAAGTGGTAGTTACTTAAACTAGCGTGAGTCAGTTGAGGTCTGCCCTTTTGAGCAGGGGAGTGGGAAAAGCACACATTTTGAAACTTTGTTTCAAAGACAGTGAAAAACTGTTTTCAGTGCCTCTGATTCCACTTTGTTAGGACAAATTTTTGTTTGTCTGCTGGATACCGAGCCACGTGGTTCCTCAGAAGTATTTTGCTACTAAGGCTTAAACTACTGAAATCCTTCTTCAGTACATTGAACAGGTTTTAGTATTTTCCTTCAGTAAGAATGTAGGGATAGCTTCAAGCTGTTCTTTAAAACTGTTGCCACAGGATGGGGCTGTTGCACCGCTCAAATATGATAGGTTACAAGAACTGCAACCAAGCACTGTTTTCAGTGCTAACCCTAAAACTACACTGTCATTTTATTGTTCACCAGTCTGTGTAGCGTGGCCTCAGTTTATCCACTTTCAAGAGGTAGGAAATTTGGAGTAAGGTGTTGTTGGCTTGGTGAGTGTAAATCAACTTTGTTTCTGTTAGAGGCAGCTTTGCACCATATGACAAGCCCAGGTAGTGAGGTAATAATCCACATAGAGGGGATTTGGTTCATGTATTGCAGAATATGTTAAATATTAAATTTGGGGGTTTTTAAGCCTTTATTAAATCCATATTTGCGTTTTAGAAATGTGCCAAAAAGTGTTCTAATGAAGCAGCACCTGGGGGTTAATAAATGATATCATGAATCCATTCTGATTGCCAAGAAAGATTTTAATAAAGGAAGCCATGCCTAGGGTTGACTGTTTCATCCATGAGGAATAATTGTTTTGTTTCCATGTTTCTTTTATTGGTTAGTTAAAACAAGTTTGCTTTTTTGTATCAAGTCATTTATAATTGTCCTGCATATTTCTCTGTAGCATTTGCATAAAGAGTTAGCCCTCGGTAGGTCTGCCCTTACAAATTGTAAGAGTGTGAGAAGTGTTATTTTGATTGCATGAAGAGCTTTTACTGCCGTCTTTTACTGCCTTTCACATTCATCTCATCTTCCGCTGTTCCCTCTTCTCCTCCGCTCAAACATTCAGGGTGAAGTGAAGTCTGAAGAGAGGCCAGAATGGAATATACTGCGTGATGACTTCATGATGGGAGCATCTATGAAAGACTGGGACAAGGAAAGCGATGGAGAGGACAATGCTGAGCAAGGAGGTGGTCTGAAACAAGAAGATGACAGTGACTGAATGAAACTGAAAACCATTCAAGATAATGTTTTATCTTCTTAACTTTGTTTGGATAAAAAGTCAGCATTCTGTGAATGTACAACACTTGGAGGATATACCTTTTTTTTAAAAAAAGAAAAAAAAAAAGACACAACTTTGGAGTGTTTTCTCTTCCACGTCAAACTTTTATTTAATATAGCTTCATTTGCTATACTGAAATACTGAAATATTTTCCAAAACATGTATAATTTTCAACATATTTCCAAAACATTTTGTACAGTCAAAATAGTGGCACCTTCCCAATGAAAGAACGATTTTGCCAAGGTCATTAAAAGTTTATACATTAGTCATGGCAATTGATGTATTAGTGTGCCTGCATTTCCAAATCAGTGTTGCACTTTGAAAAGTTGTTAGCAATTCGCAATAGAAATGGCTTACAATAAACACAGAAATGCCGTCACCTTGTAAAGTTATCAGACTCCTATAGTCTCTTTACTACTTTGGCCAGAAAAGGTTTTGTAGATAATAAAGAAAAATAACCATTAATGTGATAGTTCTGGTCTTGAAGCATTAGTTTGACTGGGGACAACTCTGGAAACATAATTGTAAAACGTGAGACTTGACCCTACTGATTGGCTTTTATATTTTTAGATATATAGATAGAGGTACGTATGTATGTTTTTTTCCATTGCAAGTCTGAAATTGTGTAAGCTAAGAGACTGGTAAGAGACAGTCATTATTATTGTTTTTGTTGGAGGAGAGAGGACTTTTCTAGCAATACCACATAAAATTGTATTCAGTGTTGCTTCATTTGCAGTTCTGGTGTTCTGGCCTTTTTCAGTAAGGAGCCGGACTTCCAAGATTACATCCTGTGGGTTTAGTCAGCTGTAATGCTAATTCCTCAGGTCTGTAAAGGTCAAACAAAAGCCCTTCCTCTGAGGTGCATACTGTAAGAGTATCAAATTGTGGAAGACATCTGTCAGTGTAACACTGTTGGCTTTAAACTACAGCAGTTTCTCCTAATTAGTTGTTTGGTTGTGAAGGTACAGAAGCTAACATACATAATAAGAATATATTCTGTATAAGCATATGCATACAGAAGAAAGTGCATTGTGATTAAGGTGTCCTAAATGAGAGGCTAGGGGTTGAATTCCGCTGCCTTCACTGTTCCAGACTGCCTGTCTGATGCTGTGTCGTTTGTTTAACTTTGCTATCGCATTTCCCCATTTGCTGTGTGAAGAAAATGCCTTGGGGCCTATTAATTGATACTTAAAATACATAGTACTATTCTGTCTCTACAGATGTGTCATGTACAAGCCTTTCTTTGTACCTGCTTATATGCGAGAGATAATTAGGAGTGACTGAAATTTTCAGTCTTCAGCATTGAAATGTGTGGTAGGACAGTGGATTTACATTTTCCTAACAAAGGCATTGAGGAGAGGAGGGGGTTTGAACTTTGTGTATACTGTGGGATAAAAAATATACATACAAAATAGCAGAGAAACCCATCCTAACAACTGGCAATGGTTGTGTTATCCCCAGCCTATTCATCTGGAATATGTTGTAGCATAATTCTTTGAGGAGAACTCAAAGCTAACAGCAGAAATGTTTAGATTTTCAAGCTGTTTTGAGTGTTAAACATATTAGATATCTGAGGAGACATTAGTATGTGGCCTGATATTTATTATCACAAATGAAGGCATACACCCAAAATATCAAGTGGCAAAACCACAGAAGCTTGACATATGGTTATCCTGGCTTCTGAAGGCCTGACATCTGTATAGCTGTTCAGCAAGAGTTGGCATCTCATTAGTGCAATACACAAATACACTACAATGAATTTTGATTCTGTGGAGCAGCATAATAGTCTAATCTGACATTGCTTTCTTTTCTACAGAGTTCAGTTTACTTTGTGTGGAAAAATTACATCAACATCCTTAAATCTACAGTTGTTCTCTACTTTGATATCACCGGTCTCTGTCTGGGATTAAGCTTTTGGAGAACAACCTAGTTTTTCTTAGGAACTACAACATCCTGAGGTGACTATTAAAAATTTCAAAATACTTTCAGAATACTTTAGAATATTTGGGTGTTAATGAATTTTATTTGTGTATTTTGAAGTAATGTGTTGATTAAAGCACTGAAGTGTCACGTGTATCTGAGAATAATGTGGAATATTGCTAAAAATATCTTGAGCTTCCATTTAATTTAGAGCACATAGCAGTACTTTTTGCCTATAGATGGAGAGCATTTCTTGCCTTTTAAGAAACATAGTATTCATATTTTTCTGTATGTTGGATAGTTTTTTGATACTGTACCCTGCCTTTGCCTTGTCCTTTGGTTGTGCCATATGCAGAGGAACTCCTAGGATAACTTAAATTGGTAATTACCTCCAGAAATAAGCTCTGGACTCTTATGGTGGATGGGAGCAGTATATTTTAATTTTAGGCATTTGGCAGCTGATTTATTTCACAAGGGTTTTTTTAATTGACTAACAATTCAAAAGAAGAGCTAAACCCTCTTTGACCGAGACACCTTCCTGTCTCCTCTCTCAGCTGTGGGATCAGCTGCCCTGCCCACCTCTCTACCCACTTTTTCAGTAATGTTCTTCCTTTCCAATAGTTACCAAGGTCAACCTTCGGCGGCTTTTCCCAGCCGTCAGAGTTACTTGGTCTGTTTTGCCTGCTCCCATGAATATCTGCTTTAGCAAAGTTGTGCTGCTGCTCTTCATTCCAGAGCGCATGAATCATCTCAACTTTGTATATTTCTGTACCTATCTATATAAAGCCAATAAGGATGGGGTGGTTCCAGTTTTGTTAGGCTTCAAGCCAACTCCAGAGTATGTAGAATTTAATATTCTATGGATTGCATGCAAAGCAACAAAGTTTTGTTTAATAAGAGAAGGCACAGGGTCAGCTCTTCCCCATGTCTCACCCTGTGGTCTAATTTCTCTTCCCATTAATTGTGCTAACATTTTTCAACAAGGAAATTAGTTGGCCGAGGGGGGGTGGGGGGGGAGAGAACC